GGGAGCGCTGCTGCGCTTCCCAAGCGGCGCACTATCCAGTGCGCCACCGGGCCGGCCCCTAGGGAACCACTTTTTTTCTCTTAGAATCCACGTATGATTGGTACCATATGTTATTTGTCTTTTTGTGCCTCCTTCACTTAACATGATAGTTTCCAGTTCCAACCATGTTGCTGCAAATGATAGGATATCGGCATTTTTTTAATAGCGGAATAGTATTCTATTGTGCATATATATACACCACAGTTTCTAATCCATTCATCTGTTGATGGACATTTAGGTTGATTTTATCTCTGGGCTACTGTGCTGCGGTGAACGTGGGAGTGAAGGTGACTTTTTGACATGTTGATTTCATTACCTTTGGGTATATACCCAGTGGTAAGAGGGCTGGGTTGTAGGGAAGATCTATTTTTAGTTCTCTGAGGAAACTCCATACCGTTTTCCACAATGGCTGCACCAATTGACACTCCCACCAGCCATGTAAGACAGTTCCTTACTTTCTGCATCCTCACCAACACTGGTTATTTTTTGTCTTGTTGATACGAGTCATTTTAAACAGAGTGAGATGATATCTCATTGTGGTTTCAATTTGCATTGCCCTAATGACTGTAGCTTGTTTTATATCTGTGTCTATATTTGTATCTCCATGCATCTATATTTCTATATATACATGTATATGTGTATGCATTTACACATCTGTATACACAATATATACACATATACACTGTATATTACACATGCATGGTATGCCTGTGTTGATACGAGTCATTTTAAACAGAGTGAGATGATATCTCATTGTGGTTTCAATTTGCATTGTCCTGATGACTGTAGCTTGTTTTATATCTGTGTCTATATTTGTATCTCCATGCATCTATATTTCTATATATACATGTATATGTGTGTGCATTTACACATCTGTATACACAATATATACACATATACACTGTATATTACACATGCATGGTATGCCTGGGTGTGACTGTGTGTGTGTGTGTGTACATGTCCACTATAATGGACTGGAGAGTTAGTGTACTTGAATTAGTATATGTTTCAGAATATGATTCACAAATTTATTTCTCTTTTTTCCATCTCCCATTAATATAACAGAATTGACCACCACAGCGAAATCCAGTGCTCGGACTCCGAGTGGCCCCTCGCCTGCTCGCACCACTGCATTCTCACTCGCAAGCATCTCTGAAAGAGAAAATGTCTCCTCAGAGACCACAGCTCCTCCTAGTCCAGGCAATACTTCAACCCACGTATCTCTGTCCTCTTTGGATAATGCCAGTGCTCTTAAAACAACAGGTTGGCACAGAAATGCTGTTAATTGAAATGATTTTAAGGCAAACTTATCTCTCTTTTAATTCTAAATTTATCAGAACAGTTTTTCTTTAACTGAGTCATGTGTGCAGTTTCTAAGTATGTGATTTTATTCAAGTGCATAAAGTGTAGAAAATATGAAGTGTTTATGAAATACTGTTGACCTAAGTAATGCATGTATGTTGTTAGGGTGAGGAAAGGAGAGAGAGAAAAGACCCATGAAGTCAAGTCAGGAGGAGAGCATTTCTCCAGCATCCTCTGATCTCCACTTTCTGCTCACTAGGTCACTTTCTGCACCCAGTTCCTGCTCACTAAGGTCTCCCTCAGTCCTGGACAGGTCATCACCCCCATTTTTAGGGCTTGTACCCTAGAGTAGAATCTTCCCACTTCTTTGTTCCATTCCAGGTTCTCATTATCAGGAAAGTATTGAAGAGAGACCATTGAATTTTGAAAATCCCTACTGAGGATTGATAACAGTTTTGTCATTTGGGTTTCTTCCAGGGATATTTGCATTATTAAACGTTTTTTAATTAATCAAGCTTGTAAGTCCTAATGGGGCAATTTAAGGTAATATCGCCATGATCATAGCAAAATATCAGATTGATGTGGGAGGTATTTTTACCAGGGAAAACCACTGAAGCTCCTTAGAACACATGTATCAATGCTTGGCTCATTCCATGTCTAGTGGTAGGTCTGCCAGTGTATTCAGTACATAAATTGACTATCGTGAGGTTCGTTCATGCTTTTTATAAAATAATGTGCTATGTTGCCATTTTCTTAGATTTATAGAAGGGTATATAAATCAAAAGTTCATGGAAAGATTTGGATTATCTTTCAGTTCCATTTTTCCATGAACTATTTGAAGTGCCCTCTTAGACATACTCTGATTAAAGAGACTAAGCTACTTGAACTGTTGAATAGTGCCTTTTGTCTTAGATAGAAAAGCAAGCATGTATAATGTTATCACAAAAATGCTGTTTAGGGTACATTGGAGTGTTTTGGGTACCATACTGATAATGTTTATTGGCTATAGTAAAGTAAGCAATTAAATAAAGGGTCAATGTCTTCTTTTAGCAATTACAGAACTGTGTATTTAATCTTTTCTCCATTTTTCTAGCTACCATAGCACAGCAGTGGCTAGGACCTATCCAAGCAGTGTAAACATTTAAACTCATTGCCTGAAGTTTTTACAAAAGGAATGTAAGGATAGAGGTGTTGATGGCAAAGTAAAACATTTCACACCAAGCTTTTTTATGGCTTGAGTAATGTCACAGTTTTCCATTTTACAGTTTTCACATTTCACTTCACATACACAAACACACACATGCAACATTCCTACCATTTTATCCCCACATTTTTTTCACCCCAAAATGTTAAAGCCATACATTTACAGATAAAGCAAAGTGTGAGAAAAAAAGGTTTAAAATGGGATAGATTAGAAATAAGGATAAATAATTTTTAAAATACTGACTTGCTCTGGTGCAATAATGCTAACAGTGAAATTAACTTGGAAAGTTTTTTATGCTTTCAAGTAAAAGAGCACAAGAGGACATTACCTTTTCTAGAAAATTGTCTTGCTATCAGTGATATTTCAATTTTTAACTGGGATAAAGCCTGTATGTATTATTTATGTTTAAGATTGATTTATAATTTGGATTGCAGAGTTTTCTTGCTTAGAGGTGCTTAGAGAAAAAAATCCTTAATCAGTTCTAAAAATGTAATATACACCATTCTAAACTGTTCTTTTTTGAAAGTGATTACAATAGTATCCACATATATATAACATTAAATTTAATTCTGTAATATTTTTATAAAAATAGTTATGCTTGTTGTAAAACATTATCAATAAAGTATATATCGTTGATATATACTTTACATACATACACAATGAAAACACCATCTCCCCAAATCCTGCTTCTTAAAGATACAATTTGAACAGTTATTGTATCTCCTCCATACTCTGGGTATATAATTCTGTGAGTGTGTATATGTATGTGTGTGTGTAAGCACACACACGTGACCGTTTCTACACCTTTTCTAACACTAAATAAATGTTATCAATCTTTTAACACTCTGTTGGTGTGATGGTTAAAAATATTTCACGTTGACTTATGTTTATTCAATTTTTCGTGATGATAACCTTTTCATGTACTTTTTAGCCATTGTATATATTAGATAAGGGTCTATCGCATCTTTTGCCCATTTTTCTATTTCTTCTTTTCTTTGCGATTTGCAAGAGACACTAGTATATTGGAGAATTCCTTTCTTATTCTGCCTGCAAAGGAATGTCCCAACTTTTAGTTATAGAGTTGATGGAGAACTCAAAAAGCTCATAGTGATTTGGAAGTCTGAATAGCAACCCAGAGACAGGAGCCCTCTTTGGCTGCGTCTGGCCAGGAGAGCCTCCCAGGGATATGTAAATGGAGAGGAATTCAGGTGCCACCTTCCTGCCAAGTGAACTTAAATCCTGGCAGATGCAATTTAATAGATTGGGTCACTTCTCAGTTTGGTAACTATAATAGCAAGTTGCACCTTATAACCTCTTAGTATTTAACATTTCCATGTGCAGTGGGGGGACACTGATGTAATGATCTCGCTTTTTTACCTTAGGTGATCCAACAGCGCAGACGCCTTACTTTTCCACGCATGCAGACTCGCAGGCGTCCTCTGACAGAGCTGACACGCAGACACTCAGCAGCCAAGCTGCTCTTACTGCACTCACGCTTACTCCCGGCAGGAGTGACACATCAGGTTTGCGGGTCCTTTAGACTTGTGCAAATGTGAAGAGTACATGACAACTGCCTGTATTTAAGAGTGGTCTGAGGAAATCCAACCATGGTTCAACACGTAGCACTTGCTGGTTGATAGTTTGGGATTTCATAGTTACCCTTATCCTAAGTTACCTTACCCCTTTCACGTCCTAAGGGATATGAAACCACATAACAATGGAGATGAAATAACAAGGATGAGAATTGTGAGGCTACAGGAAAAGCCTGCTTAGGAAGGAAGTTATTCAGTATATTCAGTGTATTGGGCAATTGTCATTTTACAGTGAAAAAGTCTTTTTGCTAGTAACAGAGAATAATATGCATGAATCTTTACTTAAAGAGCTCCTACCAACAAACAAAACAACAAAAGTAGGTTACTGCTATTATAAATAAAGGGTAAAGAGAAATTGTCACTTAAAGAATGAGATGTTCATATTTTCTATTCAAACACAAAGATTCTTTCAGCTTAGCATCTCGGTATTTATAACAACAATACAAAATATTCCTCCCTAGTCTTTCCAAAATCAGTGCCTAAATCATTTCATGGTGCCTTTTATTATGCATGAAATAAGTATGTCCTTTCTGAGGTCACAAATCCACATAGTTACATATATAAATTTAGCAACTTGAGTGCTTGAAGGTTAAAGATATAATTGGGGGGCTATCGGGCTGGTAGTAAAGTGATTAGTCAAACACATCAAATAGAATAACTGTGATTTTGAAGTACTAAAACTGATTCCTTGGCAAAAAAATTGTTACAGGCAATCTGCACACTTTAACCAAGTAGCAGAAGAGCTGTCCTCACTTCCTGTCTCATTCCACCTATTCCAGCTACCATTGGAGCCACACTAAGGGGATTTAGAGTTTTCAGTAAATGCACAGATTCAGAAGTTAGGGAGGAGAAGAAGCTGTAAAATAACTAAAGAGGGCTGATCCCTGGGGGCTGGTCGTCACACAAGCCAGTCTGTTCTGCCCTGATCAAGGAATTCTTCATCTCACAGTGGCTAATTCCACTAATTAAAAGTCTATTAGGATTAATCAACCGAATTAAAATTGTAAATGCTACTTTTAAGCCATCACTGAGATTACCTGCATAACAAGGGAAAAGGACTTTTTATATGAAGAAGAAATATAGGGAATTTGGGGAGAGTGAGAGCGGGCACCTCAGCACAGCGTGGGGACAAGGGCAGCTCGGGAGGGCAGCAGATCAAGCTACTGAGAGAAGGGTAGAAAAGAAGGTGGAAGAAGGTTAAAGACAAATCTGGCTGCTTTTAAAGGTTTGCAGAGGGCCAATTCTATGTCTAAATGAATTTTTTAGAGGATAAATACATAAACCTTCCTACTCTTCCACTTGTTCTGTTGGAATCCTCTGAAGATTGAGCACTGATGTTTTATCTTATTCACTCTATTCTATGGTTTAGTTACATTTGGGGGTTTAGTAGTGGCTTGTGAAGACTGAGCTGAGAACCCCAACTAAATTTTTTAAAAGATGCATTTCCAATTCTAATGGAATGTATGCGTGAAATTATGGACTGCACCCTGTTTGTAATTGGAAGATGCCTGCATGCTCACGTCAGAGCCATTTTCAGAAGGTGCATGCACGTATCACTGCTGAAACACAGAATCTTCCTGCAAATGTGTGGCTAATCTCATCTCTTTGAACTGATGACCCCGAGGATCTTGACAGTGAAATAACCAAACAAGGTCTTGAATAGGGACCAGCTCATCTTTCTTTTGTTTTTTTCCATGGCAACTAGGATAGTGCTAGTCATCAAGTAGGCACCCAATGAATATACATTGATTGCCTGTCTGTAGTTCTGAGTGTGATGTCTGGGGAAAGAGGTAACATGCATTAGGTGCTTTGAAGCCTGACAATGAAAAGTCCTAACTGAGTACAATGTGCAGTTTTTTCAGCTACAACACTAGATTCTATACCAATTAGTTCATAGGTGATTGGAAAATACAGGAATGGTGTCAGTAAAATGTGAAGTTTGTTGGTTCCAAACCAATTTGATTTTTCCTGGCAAGGGGGAGCCCTACATAGTGAAGGTAGAATTGTAACCTTCAGCTAGAAAGAAAAACCTCTGAGCTCAGCTGCTGCACAGGCAGGAACTCATTCAGCTCATTTAAAGAAACTTAAAATCAAGCACTTGCACCCAGAGATCCCTCTCCAGAGAGGTGCAGCCACGCAGGGTGCTCAGCATGTGCCAGGTTGCACTTCCTCCTGTGCCAAATTTAACCCAGTCTTTTACAAAACTCAGAGCTACACTTCCATCTGCATGGCCTCTGCACCACCAAGACAGCACCCCTATCTACAGCTTTGATGCATTTTTAATATCACCTAAGGCAGCTCTCAGCCAGGAGGTGTGGCTTCCTGGGGCTGTCCAACCTATTTCCTGAGATCCCCACTATTTTTAAATGTGTGCTCTGATCACAAAGCTGCATAGATTTCCAGTAACCTGTTCCTAAACTTCTCTTTCCCATACCTGGTGTTTTAGTACACTTGTCTAGAATGCATAGATTGTGGTATAGCAGAAGTGCTTGATTATTTGTTGTTCTGCCTTAGCTTTAGTAATCATGTTTATGTTGGGTATCTGGTCACTGCCCTTGCATGGCAGGAGCAAGTGACAGTGCTGATGGCCTTTCTGATTGCAGGTGTCCCAGGAGACAGGAGTACAGCCAGCACCTTTGCTGCAGACACAGCTTTCCCATCAGTAGTCACCCTCAGTCCTGCACACAACAGCTCTGCTGGCTTACCTGCACTCACCTCCAACATCACCACCAAAGATGACTCCTCAGGTTGGACTCTGATGCTCCAGGTGTTTTAGGCTGTGGATAATGATACATAAACTTAAAACTTGAACACAGCTCTTTTATTTCACTCCAAATATTACTTGCAGGTTTCCTGTCTTACAAATTTTCAAAAATCGATACTAAATTAGGCAAAAGAAACATACCAGCAACCTTTTTCTGGGTATATTTTATTGTGTTATTATTACAAAAGTTCATGGCAAAGAAGAACAGATAATAGCCTTTAATGTCATATAGCCCTGGGATCAAATCCAGATTCTCAAGTTTCTAGCTGATTTTAGGACAAGTTATAAATACTTTCTGAATATCATCTTCCCTTCTGTAAAAACAGATATAATAGCACTCATTTTGTAGGACTGATATGATGACAATATGTAAAAAGTCTGGTATTCAATGAATATTAAGAAAAAAGTAACTGTAACCCTTATTAGTATCCAAAATAAGGAGAGTTTTAAATGAGGGGAAAAGGAATTGTTTGAGGAAGATTGCACATGAGGTGAGAATTATACCATGAAATGAATAGTTTTCCCTCGATTTATACAATGTTTAGTTTAAATTACTTAAAGTATTAGCTATCTTAAAGGGCCATTGGTAGATAAATCTTTGATTCACTTTATTATTTTAAAAACAAGCAAGTGGTAATTCAAATGAGGACTCCTAGAGAAAAGATTTGGCCAGGAAACTATCTTGGCTAGAGATTTTTCTCTTGCTTGTCTATATGGCAACTTCATTAACTTTTATTCTCCTGCTCATTTCTTCACAGATTCCAACGACACCATGCTATCCACTCCACGTCCTGAAGCTGTTGTCCATACATCCATAACAACCACAATGACATCAGCCACAACAGTCACAACAACAGGTGACGACCTTACCCTCAGTCATGCAGCCCCCCCACCACCACGTGCCTGGGGACATGTTTGTCCATACATCCATAACAACCACAATGACATCAGCCACAACAGTCACAACAACAGGTGACAACCTTACCCTCAGTCATGCAGCCCCCCCACCACCACGTGCCTGGGGACATGTTCATAGAAGGGTCCTCCATCTGCTCTACCTTGGGCTGCTTTCTTTGAGAAGTTCCATTAAGAATTCTAATCCTGAAAGCCGTGGAAGAGTAGTGAGGCTTTTACCTATTCAGCAGTGCAATAGCCAATGAGATCGGCATATGTTACTGTAATAAGCCCTCAGATGCTGTGTCCACATCTGTTTTTCTATTTCTTACTCGTATTTTAAAACACAGGCTAAGACACCTTCTCTGAAAATCCTCTGCGACCTCTCCACTCTGAGTAGATATCTCTCTTCACTCCCACATTATTTTGTGCATAATCTTATTTTAGGCATTTGCGCACCTCCTGCAATTCACATCTGTGTCTGTCTCCACGCTATATGTTTCTAAAGGGTGACGTGTGTGACTTGCCTTTGTCTGGGTAGTGTTTGGGACACTGTCTTAAACATACTGCATGCATAATAATCTTTGTTGAATAAAAATGAGTGAATAGATCAATATTTGTTGAAAATATATTTTTTCTAGTCAACAGAAATTGTTGATACCGAGGAAGGGTGCTTAGGAGGGTATATTATCAATAATAATTTTACATAAGTAAAGAAATACGTGAGAACCTGTGGTTTGAGTAATTATTTTTCTACTTATTTGAAGAAACAGATTATTAATAACTACATTTTAGAAAACAAGTGAAATTATAAAGCAAGCAAGAAGAAATTTGTAAGATGCATCATTTTCTTACGCATCAATTTGACAAGTATTGAACTCCTACTAATGACAGATACTATGCATAGACCTGGATTTATGGTGATTACAGAAATAGACTGGTCTTTGTTCTCATGGAATTGATAGTCCAGTTAGGAAGACGGACATTTATTCAATAACCATCCAAATATAAACTTAGAAGCTGGGGTCATTGATAGGACAGTAAAGGTGATTATGAAAGAATTATATGGAAGCCCCTGATATGTTCTTCTGTTTTTCATGTTCCTGGGGATATTTTGTTAGTAATTTTTTTATTTTGGAAAATATATGACAAGGCATTTGCATTTAATGTAATTTTATTCATTCTGAAAAAAGAGATGATCCTCACTGCTTTATTTTCTTTCAGAGGAAAAATATCAAAGTATCTCTGTGAACTACTCATATAACAGGACAAATAATACTTACAGCGCAAAGGTGGATGCTTATGAAGGAAAGAAATGTGAACCTGAAAATTGTATGAGCCAAACGTTTCATGGCCTAGGAGAATGTGAACTTGTTGAAGTTAAAATATATAATAGTTCATGTGCTTCATCTAAGATGGTAGAATTAGCTGTACCACCAGGTAAATATCAATTTATTTCTATTGATATATTTACAAAACAGTATAATTTCATATGTGGTGTGTTCTAGCAGTTAAGGGAACCAGTCCGGTGAGAGAAGAGGGTTGAGGGAAATAAAGTCAGAAGTATATGAGTGGGTGAATTTCCTGTTTTCCTAACCCAGGAAAATTTGTGACATAATATAAGCCTCCTGCTTACACTCCTTAGTTACTTCTCCTATTTCTTTTACAGAGAGGTTCATGGAGATTCGATGTAACTTATTCTTTGAGGCGATTATACATAAGCTTTCTCATTTTTCTCTTCTTCTTAATTCAAATCATTAAATATGTATGTACACATTTATCCTTTTAGATACAATTTTGTCTGGAGTATACTGGGAAAAAATAGAAAGTTAAGGATTTAATGTTTATAAAATAATCAAAATACTTTCACAAAAAGGGTGAGTTATAGTCTTGCTAAGATGATCAAGCTGTTTTACCAACTAAGCTACGGCTGAGAAAAGAAATGGAACAAAGGTGTCGAACAGACACCATGGAAGCATTTCTTAACAAAATGCATTTTGGAAAAGGGATTCAGGGGCTGTGTAATTTATTAAATATCTCACATCATTTAATTATTCAAGATTATTCATTGATTTATTACCACTTAAATATGTCAGAATTTGATGTTTTGATTATCCTTTTAGATACAATTTTGTCTGGAGTATACTGGGAAAAAATAGAAAGTTAAGGATTTGATGTTTATAAAATAATCAAAATACTTTCACAAAAAGGGAGAGTTATAGTCTTGCTAAGATGATCAAGCTGTTTTACCAACTAAGCTACGGCTGAGAAAAGAAATGGAACAAAGGTGTCGAACAGACACCGTGGAAGCATTTCTTAACAAAATGCATTTTGGAAAAGGGATTCAGGGGCTGTGTAATTTATTAAATATCTCACATCATTTAATTACTCAAGATTATTCATTGATTTATTACCACTTAAATATGTCAGAATTTGATGTTTTGAAAAAAAATCCATTTAGTTTATTTATTTTTCCTAAACACTACTGAAATAAATCATTAGCTGAACACAGAAAAAAATGACAATATTTAAAAATGCATTTCCTGGAGGGAGGCGGGTGGGGGGGAAGAGGAATTGGTAAAAAGGACATAAAAATCAACTGCATTGCATATTGATAAATTAAAATAAAAAAATTTAAAAAATGCATTTCCTGAGAGGGAAACCCTCAATACTCTGTGTAATAATTGTCTAATTAAACATCAAAATGTATCAGTACCGCACTCTCCCGAGTGAGCCACCGGCCGGCCCAAACATCAAAAAGTAAATGAAAAAAATTGAAGATGTGAAAAAAAAATTGAGTATTTTTAATGTGAAAAACTGCAGTTTTTCTAGATGTTTACTTAAGTGCCATTTATAAAAGTACCATAAATTCTAAATGAAAAACTATCAAAACATATGGTGTTAAAAATGGCCCAAACATCAAAAAGTAAATGAAAAAAATTGAAGATGTGAAAAAAAAATTGAGTATTTTCAATGTGAAAAACTGCAATTTTTCTAGATGTTTACTTAAGTGCCATTTATAAAAGTACCATAAATTCTAAATGAAAAACTATCAAAACATATGGTGTTAAAAATTAATAAAATAAGTAATCAAGAAACACCAAACCTTGAAAGTTGGTAAACATTTTCAAAAGCAGTCTAAATGCTTGCCAAAGTCTATGTCATGAGTATAATTTCAGTAGCTTTAATTGAGAACATGGCACACACGATGAAATATTAATCCAGTCTATTTTTATATCTTCTTGACAGAGCCTCAAAAGTTACACTTAGTTGATTGTACAAAGGAAGAGGAAGCAAATACCACTATTTGTTTAAGATGGGAAAACAATGGAAACTTTGATTGTACTGAAAGTCAAATTTCATACAAATTTCAATGTGGTAAGAATATAATAATGATCAGATATTTTTTGTGGTAGAAAGTTACTCTAGATTTTTTAAAAAATATTTTATTTCTCTCTCTCTCTCTCTCTCTCTCTCTCTCTCTTTTCTTTTTGGTCTGTATTATGTTTGAAATCAAACAACTGTATTATCTATACCACCCCCCAAAATTCACAAAATAGATAAATGTTCTACCTGAAAAATAAATATTGAAAAAGTAATAATTAATTTACAAGAATTTTCCTGGCAATTATTTTCCACAGGCATTGTTGAAGAGATTATGAGAGAAAGTGTTAGAAGAGAACGGTGACACTCATGTTCTGTTAGAAAGGAAGGGAAAACACATATAAGATTACATGGTTCAAGAGGTTACTTTGTCATTCCTCCATCAGCAAAATTCCTACACAAGTGCAGGAAAACTTAGATAACAAGAAAGCAGAAATAGAATGGTACTTCTAAGAATGAGTTTGCATTTGAATTGAGGGGAGCAATAATTGAGAGCTTTTTTCTTTAAGTATATTTGAATTTAATAAGATAGACCCTCCCACTCTTGGTATAAGGTCATCTGCCAGGCAGTATTTGGCAATACAGACAGACAGACAGATGTGCGTGCACCCACACGCATGCACACACACATGATGGAAGGTGGTCCTGGTTGTAATCGTCATGTAATCATCAGAGCACGGATGCATGGCTGTGAGGCAAGCAGTATGCAGAAAACAAGAGCTAATGTTGACAGACTGATGGTAAAAAATGGTCCATCTAGAAAATCAGTTAAGCAAAGGTTAATTAAGGTGCACTCCATTGTTTCTGTACAGAGAATAATGAACTAATGACTGGTTTCATCAGTTAAATTAGAGATGCTCTTAAACTAAGTTGTACTTGCTAAATATTTTCAAGATCTTTGACTTAATATTTTGACTATTGCATAGATTTTCAATCTAGTAGATAGGTACAGTATTATAAATGTGAAATCAGAAAAGAAAGTTATATGTGATATATTGTATTAATATAGTCATATGCAATACTTATTTCTTTCAGATAATTCAACATTTTATGAGAAGCAAATTGAATTAAAAAACCTTGAACCCAAACATAATTATACTTGTGATTCAGAAGTATCCTATAATCATCACAAGTTTATCAGTACAAGTAAAATTGTTGAAACAGATTTTGGAAGTGAGTATATTACTTACATTTGTATGTAAAATTGCTTTCTCTTTCATATTTGTATAATTTTTTAAGAATCACAGAAAATGATGGTATAGTTTAGAAAAAGCATTTTGGAAAACATTTTATCAGTTTTTAAAGTTGAATTTAAAGATAAATTACACAGGGCACAAACTTCTGTCAAAATTCGTTTTTTTTTCAAATGATCGGCTATCATGTTGGAAACAAAACTATGAATAAGTAAAATGTTTTGTTCATTCATTTCCTATTTTATTTCTCCTTCTTGGGTGCTTCTGCACCCTGTGCCCTCTATCAGATCCTGCCTCTGACAGAAGTAAAGTGAGCCATGAAATTAATATAACTCAGTGGTAAATCTAAGTACTTAGGGAAAAATAGAAATTATTATTACTTCTTCTTGTTATTTCCAGCAGCGTGAAATTATCATTATTTCTTATTTTTATTAGCAGCAATATAGGTAATAACAAGATCATGATAACTAATAACAACTGGAAAATACAATCCTGAGAAATAATAGCATTTGGGAGGATGTAAGAGAGAAGGAAATGAAAAAGTGCTACTATTCCAGTTGTCTCGTTTAGGAGAAGTAAATAGATTCCAATTAAATTTAGAATCTGCTAGAAAAAATTGTTAATTATATGTATGACAATTTGTGAGTACTCACACCAAAAAAAGGGGAAATGGATGGTGTTGCCTGTATGCTGTAGAAGAAAATTATGGAATAAAAATTGCACATATCCCAGGAGGATAAGTGGGTGGAGGAGAGTAAAGGAAGAAGAAAAGGCAGGAGGAAGAGGAGGTGGAGCAGAAGGAGGAACAAAAGAGAAAGAGGAGAAGGAGGAAGAGAGAGAGAGAAGGAAAGAGAAAGAGAGGGAGAGAGAATACTAAGTAGAAAGCAATAGGTAAGATATACCAACACCTGCCTCTCCTGTGAACATAGGAACTAAACAGTAAATGAAATAACAGCAAAGTGGATTAAAAATGACATACCACTATTAAGATTTATCCCAGTAATACAGAAATCCTGCAGTCTTAGAAAATAGCAATTTGGCCATTTTATTTATCATTTCACTCAAGAAAGAAGGGGGATTTTTGTAAGATCACTATGAATGAAGCCACATTCTTTTTGGTTTTTTTATTGTTAATTCACAAACCACATGATTCAACGTACAATTGAATTGTACATTGAACCAGTGTACCATTCAATGGTTTTTAATATATTCAGAGTTGTGTGACTATCACCAGAATCAATTTTAGAACATTTCATAATACCAAAAAGATACCCTGTATCTGTTAGCAGTCACTTCCTATTTTCCCCTCAGCCCCCAGTCCCTAGGCAACCACTAATCTACTTTCTGTCTGGATGGATTTGCCTATTATGGACATTTCATATGCATTGGATCATACAATATGTCATCTTTGTGACTGGCTTCTTTTGCTTAGCATAACATTTCCATGGTGGGTCTATGTTATAATATATATCATTATTTTTATTCTTGAGTAATACTCCACTGTATGAATATATTTTATTTTATTTTTGTCTCTTCATCAGCTGAGTGACATTTAGGCTGTTTCCACTTTTTGGCTATTATAAATTATGCTGTTATGATCATTCATATACAAGTTTTTGTGTACACATATGTTTTTTTTTTGTCTTGGGTGTATACCTAACATTGGAATTTTGGGGTCATACTGCAACTTTATGTTTTGCCTTTTGAAGAACTATCAATCTGTTTTGCAAAGTGGATGCACCATTTTACATTCCTACCAGCGATGGATGAGTGTTCTGATTTCTCCAAATCTCCATCAACACTTGTTATTAACTGTCTTTTTTATTTTGGCCATGCTAGTTGGCATGAAGTGTTATCTCAGTGTGGTTGTGATTTGCATTTTCTAATGACTTAAGTTATTGAATATGTCTTCACGTGATTTTTTGCCATTTGTATATCTTTTATCTATTCAATTTCTTTTGTGCCCAACTGGATTGTTTTTTATAGAGTTGTAAGAATTTTTAATATATTCCACACACAAGTTTCTTGTTAGATTTATGATTTACAAATATCTTCTCCCATTCTGTGAGTTTATTCTTTTACTTTTCTGATAGTTTTTAAAGCAAATAAGTTTTTAATTTTGATGAAGTTCAATTTATCTATATTTTGCTTTCGTTGCTCTTGCTTTTGGTGTCATATATAAAAATTCATTGTCAAATCCATAGTCATGCAGATTTATTTCTATTTTCTTCTAAGGATTTTATATATTTATCTCTTAAACTTAGCTCTGTAATCCACTTTGAGTTAACATTTGTAAATGGTGCAAGGTAAGGGTCCAATTTCACTCTTGTACATGTGGGTATCCAGTTGTCGTAGCTCCGTTTACTGAAAATACTATTATTTCCCCATTGACTGGTCTTGCTGCTCTTAGAAAAAATTAGTTGGCCATAATGATCAGTTTATTTTGGGATTCTCAGTTCTACTCAATTTCACTCTTGTACATGTGGGTATCCAGTTGTCGTAGCTCCGTTTACTGAAAATACTATGATTTCCCCATTGACTGGTCTTGCTGCTCTTAGAAAAAATTAGTTGGCCATAATGATCAGTTTATTTTGGGATTCTCAGTTCTACTCCATTGATTTACATATTTATCATTATACCAGCACAATACTGTTGATTACTGTTGCTTTGTAATAAGTGTTGAAATCGGAAAGCATGAGGCCTTTAAATTTGTTCTTTTTCTTCAAGATTGTTTAGAATATCTGGGGCCCTTGAAATTCCATATGAATTTTAAGATCAACTCATTAGTTTCTACAGAGAAGACAGCTGGAATTCTTGTAGGGGTCGCATTGAATTTGTAGATCAACTTGGGGTAGCACTGCCATCTTAATCATGTTGTTTTCTCAATTTTATTTTCAAATTGTTCTTTGCTAGCATATAGACATATAACTGATTTTTCTGTATTGATCTTGCAATCTGCCACATTGCTGAACTTGTTTGTTAATTATAATATTGCAGTATTTTTGACCGAACATATTAAAGAGATTCTAAATTTCATTTAGAAGGGATAGT